CCCCCCGCCTGCCCAAGCCTGCAGCCCCCCAGCGCCCACGGGTGCTGTGGCTGTCCCCAGCACAGCGGGGGAGCACGGGGGGCACACACCACAAATCCGCCCCGCCACCTCCCTCCCCTGCTCCCGTCTCGGAGCCAGCACAAACTCAGCTGCTTTCTAAGGGTCTCATTTCTAGTGTTGCACTATGCCAACCCCCCCACAACCCCAAAAAGCCTTTACTTTCTGTTTTCCCCTGTGTGTGGCCGTGCCCAGGAGAGCCATCGCCATGAGCAGAGGCAACACCATCAATCGGCCGGAGACTTTCTCTCTCGGGGACGCAGAGCGATGCAACGAGGACAGGAATCAATCTTTTGCTGCGTCCACTGGGGAACAGGGCGAGGAGTGATGGGGTTTAAATCGCAAGGAGCAAGATTGATGCTAGACATCTGTTGCTAACAGAACAGACAGTTAATTACTCAAGTAGATTGCCTGGGGAAGCATCAGAGTCTCCATCACTGGAGATCTTTAAGATCCAGCTGGGTAGGCATCCTTTGTGGGAAATTTAGGTGGTATCATCGGCCTCATTTTGGTGCAGAAGGGTGGACCACACCAGCACCTTACCACGCAGGTCCCTGTGATCCCGGAATAAAATTTCCAAGAACCCCAAACAACCGTGGCGCAGTGTCAGTGCTGCATGGGTATCTCGTGACGTGGGGTCGTCGTGGGTTGCTCTTGGTTTCTTGAACGTGACTCTTTCCTTGAGTCATTCTAAGTAGCTGAGCGCAGTGGTGCCGACCAGACCTGTTCCACCAAGGATCCCTGCGGCTGCAAGGTGGCACACGAGTTGTGTAGGAAGCCACAAGGCATGGCGTAGAGCCAGGAGACAGGGTCACAACCGCTCCGCCTGGCTGCATCCATCCATCCAGGTAGTTTGGTGTTGATCCGTGGCTGTCCCAGGGCCTTTGGCAGAGGGGCTGGATCACAAAGCAGTCATGTCTCTCCTGTCAATGAAATATAGTGCAGAAAAAGGCTCCGTAGACAGAAGAGATCAGCCCATGGCAAGACCACCAAGAAGCACTGAAACCCCAAGTGCTGATGGGTTCTGCCTTTGCCCATCACACTCTGCTTGTGGCTTTTCAAGCAGTTCACCATGACAAAACAGGAGCCCCACTCACCCCCTACACACACCACAAGACTCATCTCCCCAGTCTACACTTCAAAACTTTGCAGAAGAAGGGGAGGAGAAAGAAACCCAGCCATCTCTCAGCCTCCACTCCAAGTTTCTCCTGAGATGGCTCATCCTCTCCTGGGGGACAGCTCTACACATCCAGGCCAGGAAAGTCCTGAGCTGGAAACAGCTGGAGGCCAGAAGAGCGCTGGGGACATGCAGTACAAGCATGCCCTCTTCTTCCTCAGCTGTTCATTTAACATCTGTACATTGAATACCATAAATACCTGTACTTCCCCGCCTGATCTGTGGTACGCCAGGGTTAGCCATGGGCCCAGGCACATGGGTTAAGCAATATAAACCGAACAGGGGAGATGAGCGTCAGAACCCGACTTTCCCACGTAGTCACTAAAGGCTCTTGACAGAAAACATGCAGAGAACTCAAAGCACACTTGACTGGAAGGTGGCTCTGGGCATGCGCTGCAGCAGAGCACGCAGAGAGTCTAACACATGCAGAAATGATAAAAGGAGAAGTGGGGAAGCTTTGATCAACCAGAGAGTGGGAGTGGGGGTGCCAGAGCTGCCTGCAGAGACAGAAGCAAAGGCAGGAGCGTGGAGGACTTTGCACGTAAGAAGATACATAATCCCTTTGGAGTCAATCAAAGGAGGGCCAGAACAGTCTAGATGCAAATTATCACTCACCTCCTCCAACATCCCCGAGTCAGTTTTCCCCAGCAGCCATGGGGATGTGGGAGCAGAGGAGATCTTAAACAAAATAATTTGGGTGTTCCTTTCATTTTCCTCTCAGTTTCTGAGCCTTCAGGTAACTTCAAATCGTATTTTCCAGTTTTCCTGTAGAATCGTGAGAATGAGAAATGTCTGGGATTTTCTGTGAGTGACAGAAAGACCCTTGTGCAATCCCTGGATTCCAGCAGCTGAAGCTTCAAAAAAAAAAGCCAGCAACCAAGAACCATACTGCCAAATGTCAGAAAAGCCCCAATACTGCTGAGAGAGACCCGAGAGAGACTTTATGGTAATGTACGAAAAGGTGTGCCCAGGCGCTGCAGATTTGTGGATATTCATTGTGTCAGTACTACTGGGACAAAAAAGGACCACTCAGCACAATGAGGCTGTTCACACAATCTCCAACATCAAGATGCCGTAGCTGCAGCGTTAAATATAGCATAACTCTGAGCGCTATCAATAGCTGAGTTGAGACAACACGCATACTTTACAGGGTAAAGTTTGGCTTTGGGTTATATTTTTCCATCAGAGATGGTGCTTATGAAATGGAATTCCTCCAGGAGAAAACCTCGGTGGTAACTGAGGTAACTCCCAGGTTCAGCCTACTGTTCCCCTGCACCCCTGCTCCTGCTTAACCTCACAGTTCTTATATAAAAAAGCATCCAGAGTTATCACCTTGCCAATACCAAGTGTCTAACTTCTACCTCCTCCTGTGATACCAAGGCTATTTCTCCCCCGTCCATCAGAAGAGGGACAGGGTCAGGAGCTTTTCTCTCTTCTGAAGAAGCACCTACAGATACCTGCAAAACCTGCACTCCAGCTAAAGGTCAAGTCCTTTCACTGCCGGACCTGCGTGAGGCCAGAACAGCAAGGGACGTGGCAAGTATGCCAGCAAAACTGTGCTGCGCTGAGATCAGTGCAGCCACGGCTGTAGCGTAGGAGAAAGAAGCCTTTGTGAGGCTCCCTGAAGTAGGGCGAGAAGAGCAAGAAATGCTGGGGATTTGGGTTCAGGTGTTCTGATAGAGGGGTACCTGCTGCGTTGGCAGCAGAGTGGTAGATGCTGCTCCAAGAAAAATGCTGCTCTTCGCAGGTGACAGGGGAAAACTTGTTCCTGGGCCCCCCATTTAATACAAACACGTCAAACATACGCAGACCAGGCATGTTTATTTAAAAAAAAAAACAACTAACCCAACATCCTGGTGAGACAGGAGCAATTGCGAAGAGATCAGAAACTCCTTGGCCAAGACAGGTCTCTCGTTAATGAGGCCTAGCAATGGTATTTGCAGCCTCATTTTCCCCTTCCCGCTGCAAGACAGCTCAACTTTTAATGACTTCTGATCTAAAACGCTCATTACTGTCCCACTACACGCTGCTGGGGGGTGACACACTTCGCCTTTGCATCAAAGCCATTATGCTGACACTGCAGTTTTGCCTGTCAGCCAGAGAGGTTTGGTTTTCCTGGCGAATCTTTTTTTAAACACACTTCAAACAATCTCCCTTCATTTTGCCCAACAAGTCTCAGACGCTAGCACACCCCCTTCTTTGCACTGTCCCTCATGCTGCTTACTTCACTGCAAAACGCACTGAGGCCTGCAAAACCATACCATGGGGATTTTTTTTTTTTTGTCATTAACACTCAGAATAAATTATTCCAGCTCTACGTGGAGCCAATTTGTACCTGATAAGAACCTTGACCTAAGAACTGGGCAGCTGCCGGCGTGAGGAATGCCTTCCCGGCGCGAGGGGGTATGAACCCACCCGCTACGCTGTACAGGTAGGCAAACAGCTGAAGGATCGTCTCTCGCAGAGACACAGGCTTTGGTCCCCGCTGCCCTGACGGGATTGAAGCTTACGAACACGACACACGGAAGGGCAGTAACTTCAGTTACGGACTGTCTGAGCCTGCGACACGGGCAGGCACCGGCGGCGGCAGGGAGGGGGAGGAAGGGCAGGTATTCATGGAGCAGCCCTGCCCAGGGCGCCCGGCTCCTGAGGGCCCTTCTACCTTTATGTTGACCAAACGCTGGC